TTTAAATATGATTCCAGAAGTTTGATACCTCGAGGTGCTTGTGCTGCAAATCTATCGACAGAAATCAAAGAAGATTAGAAATCTATTAATCTTTCCATTCGTTTTTCTTTCTTTTTTCATCTCCCTTGCTTTTATCGCGCGTCACAGAGCGATATACTTCGACAATTTCAAATTTTCGAAGAAGAGAAGATAAAAGGATCGAGAGAATCAAATTTTCTCTAATATATTCTTGGAAAACAAAAATGTGATTCCTATACTGTTGCACGAATATTCGTTGCACGATCGTCGTCAGTTGCCATGAATTTATTCCATTTCTACTAAAATAAATGTCGCAATAAGTTTACGAATTACGAACAATTTTATGAATATTCTCTTTCTAGAAAGTCGCGAATGTGAATCCATATCCATATTCAAATAGCGAAGTTTGGGAAGGAGGGCGACGCGAAATTTCCGGATTCCGGAAGAAGATACAATATCTTAATATCGTTTTTTGAATATCATTTCAACAAACTATTTCTTTCAAATATATCTAATATATCGTCAATTTCTATCGCTAAATTTTTTTTTTTCAACTCTACAATTAAATAGAGAAAAATCTGTAATAAGTGATTTATACATTTTTCCAATATCGTTGAAGACTTTCTCTCCTGCACCCTCCTTCCTTTTTTGAAACGTAGAAAAAAAATGCCTAATCCTTCGAATAACGGTGCATTATTCGTAATTACGCGTGCAGCAACGCTCGAGCGAATTTTTCGTTTCACTGTTGTCAGTATATAGTGCATATCACTCAGATAGATGCTTCCCGGAAGGGTAGATAACTTGCACACTGATTAATATGCCCTCTTTTGTATCATTTTTTTGCATTGTTATTTTTTCTTTCTTTCTTTCTTTTTTTTTTTTTTTCCCCAACTCGTGATTCGTAGCGATACACATTATAAACATTTCATTCCCGCGACACGTACGTAGATATCTAAGGAGCAACGATCGCGAACGATAAAGAAGTTTCTGTTCTTCGTCTTCGTCGAGACAATATCATCAAGGACGTTACCTCCTTTGTATGTTCACATGAAACCCGTGTTCATTATGAAACGAGATGTCCTGTTTGCTCTGGACATATTTACACAACGAATTTACAAATTGCAAACGTTTAATCAGAATCTCCTGTACACGGTTTCGTAACCGCGAGAATGGTATCCATCCTCTCGATTATTATTCCAAACGTTTCATTTTCCCATCCCGTTTAATAGCTATGTAAGTAGAAAAAAGATCGGTTTTGAAGATCTTAAATTTTGCGAAAATTGTTATTCGATATTACGAGAAGGAAGGAACAAGGAAGTTGAATCATCTTCGATCAAAAAAAAAAGAAAAAAAAAAAAGAAAAAATTTACACGAAATACATGTTAAATTTGAATTAATTCACGTAATCTTTGCGCGTAATAGTTGACATTGAATTTAATCGCGGAACAAACACTTTTCTTATTTTCTTTTTTGTTTCTTATTCAATCGTGCCTTTTTTTCTCTCTCTCCTTACACCTCGTTACACCGCGATACAGCATACATTATTTATAAATAGCAATTTGCAGAAGAATTAATGCCTCTTACCTATCGATAATTTTCCTAGTTAACGCTCTTCTAACATATTCGCCGATATTCGAAACTAATTCGAAACTTCGCGCATAGTATATTCGCGGATGAAAAATGAAATATTTTTCATTATTTTTTTTTTTTTTTTTCGTTGCTTTCTCGAAAAATAAGCGCAAATCAACGTTCTTCTTCTTGCTTTCTGTACAACAATGTCTAACGTGTGATTCTACAATACCGTGAATCGAGACTCTCGCGTTTCGTCAAAAAGTTCTTGTATTCGATTGCTACATTCGAGAAGAATCGATAGAACGAATGCATCAATTTTATTTGAAAGAGCCATCCACAGAAATCGTTTCCAGCTAGATTTCAACGACGCAAAGACGCAATAACACTTAATAGCCGTGTTAAATCGAACATTTTGTATTTTCTCCCCGTATTGTTAGAAATTGTATGGAAAACAACGTGCGATATGTAAATTAATTAATAATCGCTCGCTTCCTCGTTCCACATTCTCGCAAATTTACCAAGATTTTCTAACTTCTTTATTTTTCCTTATTTCGTGTACATTTATCAGAATCGTAATCGATACTCTTATTACATCATACTTTTATATTTAAATAACTCTCGATACCATTGTAGCGATAAAAACAGATCGTCCATTCTGTTCTTTTTCCTATTGGATTCTCTCCCACGTGTATTCACGTAATAATTTCTTTATTTTCTGACGTAGCCGCATCATCCGATACCAGGTCGATATAATGCAACGCGTACGCAGTCCGGCATTCTCGATTTCCACGAAATAAGACGCGGAGGCCGAGCCCTGGTCGGACAGGTTCGCGTTTTTTGGCTCGTTTTTTAAATACCAAGCGTTTCGTATATTTATAGATTCGGTCTAGGCTTGAAAAAAATACAGGAGAATAGGATTTTCGACTCGGTTACATTCGCTATCCGCTATTCTCTCCCCTCGTGTCCTTTAATAGGATTACCACCTGGTGGTTGATAAAGGATAAGAGAGAAGAAGAAAAAGGAATATTTCTTCAGGATTCAGTCCTTTAGGGTTTAAAAAGAAGAAAGAAAAAGAGAGGTGCATCTAGAGTGTTCGGTTTCGGTTCCAGGTACTGTTAAACTGTTCCATCGAAACGCAGGTTTATTTACGAAGCGAAGGACTCGTCTTTGAGCCGTTTATTTCTCTTCAAGCTGCGAGAACGTCAAAATACGTTTGCTTATTTTTCTCTCTCTCTCTCTCTTTCTATCCTCCTTAAAATTATCTCTGCCTACCTGAACCGACCTGGGGCAAAAACACTTTCGATCACTCGGGACGCTTTTAAATCTTTGCCCGAGCAACGTTTTTTTAATTCGTTGTTTTTGTTTTTATATATTTTTTTTCCATCGATCTATCGTTTTTCCCTTTTCATCCATTTCCGCTCGAAGGAGGAAAGAAAAGATTCTCTTGAATCGTTTTCCGGAAGGATTGGTTTACACAATTGTTCACGGAAAGAAGTCAGTTTTTCGTACGTACGCGATACAACGTTCATTGCAATCTTTGAGATGCAGTAATTGGTAACGGATATAACTGGAAAACATCGTGATAAATATGAAAGGAAAGAAGGAGAGATTCTTTCAAGGACAAAAAAGACTTGGTAAGTATCATCTCGAACGACTCGTTTATCATTTTACTCTTAAAAGTCTTCGATTCTTGTGATTGAGATCTTGAACAACAATTTATTTGTGCCTTTTCATCGAGGAGGAGATAATTAACTTCAATCGTGAAATTTACATATAACAAGCTCGAGCGTTGAATATAATAGATAGAATTGCAGATTAGAATTATATGAATTTTCGCGAAATTCGAATACGTTTTAAGTTCAATTTCAATTGATCTTAAGTTTCAACGACAAGAATAATTTATCGTTGCTTTTCCTATTATAAATCGTTTCATATTCGTAAATTTTTTTCTTCGTTTCGTAAAATTTTCTTCCCTTTTGGATGGATCGTTAGATTGCTCCTATAATTATTTTATCGGTAACTAAAATAGAACTGTTTATTACAGGTAATCGAATATATGTATTTATAAAGTTTCGCAGAGTATACAAGGGATTTGATTTCAATACTTGGAATCGTTTTTATCGCGTTCCTAAGTTGTACGATGATAATTGCATATCTCGTCATAGCATCCTCTCTAATTCTAAATATGCATCTCTCAGGATACAATACATTATTTATCAAGGTAGAAGAATAGAAAAAAAAAAAAAAAAAAAAAAAAAAAGAAACTGTTTCCTGTATGTTCGAGCAAAATATTTATTTTCATGATAATGCATAAATTTCAATTCGCGTGTTTTCCATCCTCTCGAATATATCAAATAGCTCGATAATTTCGCCATTTCGCATTCGTTTATTTTAATAATGTTCTCGAATAACGTTAATTGATACTAATTAATAATTGAAACAATCGCACGATCGACGAGAGAGGATGAGTTTCGATAATGACAATGATAACTCGTCGCGCACGATTGGCTCGAACATTTCAATACAACGGGATCAACCGATCGACCTGTTTGTCTCAAGCCTCGATCTATTTGCTATATACAAATTCGACGGTTAAATCATTACCATCCTATAATTATACAAATATTCGTAGATAATATTCGTAGAAATTATACCAGAGCAATTTTAAATCGCGTATTAAAATACTTACGCGATACTTATTCAATCGTAATACGTTTTCGAATACGAACCATCGAGTTAGAATACGTTTCTCGAATAATTGCGCCGAAAAATAATGTTATTTTAAATACATCGTTTGAATTTTAAACGGAATTATTATGGGTATCGGGACATTGTGTTGCGTCAAATGTGAAAATTTCGATAGTGATCGAACCTTCACGCTTCGTGTCAAGGTTCTTCGCGTCGAAGAATTTCAATTTCAATTTCATTCGAAGAATCTCCCTTCGAGCTGGCGGAACTTCCACAGTGGATCCCACACTGTGTTTCGAGAATATATCTTGTCAATCGCGGATATATACGCGATAAACAAACGAAAATCGATCGTATGTTTGAAAATTTCGTAGCTACTCTCCTCCTCTTTTTCTTCGCTCCTTCGGAAGTTGAATCACGATATGTTACGGGTCGTATTAAGATCTCGATTATATCTCTCGTTCAAGGATGGACGCGTGAAATTAAAGAAGAAGGAAGAGTAGGAGAGGAAAACTCGTGGTTGGGGAAAAACAAGAGATCGATCGATTTTGGGAAGGATTTATCCGGTTTTATTCGAGCGAAAGATCGGGCCCGAAATTGCGCAAAAGGGAAGGAAGAGAAAAGGAAGAGGAACGGACAAAGTTGAAGAGGGGACTATTCCCGGGTGAGAAACACACGCGTACAATCGCGTCGTTGTGTACAAGCCTATAAATACATATTCACGAGCGGATGTTGAGGCATTGGTGAGGTCCACGTGGTCGTGGATCACGGTGGTGGCAACAGTCGGCCTCCGACCGTTGTCGTACAAGTGTGCATAAACGCGAGCCCGGTGTGTTTCTCTTTCGCGACGACGAGCGAGATAGCGAGAGCGAGAAAGATCGTGGATCGAGGGAACAGGTCGGGACGAGTTCCCTTTCGTTTGGTGCGCGTTTTCATTGGAGGCAAGCCTCGACGAAATTTCCCAAAACAACATCTCCCATTCCTCCGTGTAAATCGCACGAATCGTAATGAGACACCTTCGGGGTGTCGCGAGAACGTCTTCTCTCGACGCGACGATCCGTCCTTGACGCAGCATTTCGCCAAGTCTTTCGATCGAGCGAGAAGCGATCATCGTGGGATCATCAGTCGTGATCGGTGCGACGACGTTCTTGTTTTCTTTCTTTTTCTTCTTCCTCCTTCTTCTCCTCCTCCTCCTCCTCTTCTTTTTCCCGCGTTCGACGACGATTACTACTCGACGGGCACTTACTACGGTTGCAACGCGCAGTGTTGGTGACTGCGGTTTCACGTGTTCGCGATTCCGTCAGATCGATGAAGCTCGAGTGATATTATTACAAGCAGCGTGTAGCGTCGGTCTTTGTTCCACGAGGCAACCGTCGATCCATCGAATCGGGAGGGGGGACGATTTACCGAGTGGAGAACGTAAGTAGGAAAACGCGATTTGTGTGTTTCGTTGCGCTATAGGTGTTTGTATTGTTTACCGATTCGTTCCGAACCTCGGGACCCTGATTCGCCTTCGTTCATCAATTACGCGGCATAACGTGAAATGCGAAACATCGGATTGAAATTCAAAACGGTCGAACGAGGTCTGGCTGAACGGTTTGTTTTCATGCCGCGTCCACCAAACGTGTTTTCTCTCTTCAAATCCCTCGAATCCCCCTCCCTACTTCTTCAACATTTCGCGTCGAAATCATCGATTTCTCGCTTCCTTCATTCGATCCTTGTTCGCGTTAACGAGGTTTTTAGTATTTTACACGCGTCACAATTTTATTTATCGAGGAGAGAGAGAGAGAGAAGAAAACAAATTCGACCATTTCCTTCCGACTCGGCTCTTTTCCTCCTTTCGACTGTATACTGAAAATTTTCAATCCGCTTATTCTCGTTGCGACTGAACGTGGGAAGAGATGTAAACGATCTTTTTGAGATTTTTTCCCCCTTCCTCCTCGCCCTTCATCCTCTCAAAGTGTACGCATGGTAATGGCATCGGGAAACTTGTTCGACCGGCTACGTTACCTTTTGCCGTAATCCGTTTAGATTATTTCCAAGAGGAGTGGCGTTGTTGTTACTTTTAAATTGCACTTTGTTGATCGAAACGATCAACAATTTCGAATCGAAGCGACGATCCATTTCGAATCGTATCGAAGATTTTCCTCTTCTCGCAATTATTGCGTACGATGTATTTATAATTGTTATTACGTTAGAGAGAATTTTGAAGAAATTAGCATTTCTAGGTATCGCAAAAAAAAAAAAAAAAAAGCGAAATAATCACTGTTTTCTCGTTAATTGCGCGTAATTCTTAATGATCGTGAAGATCTTGATAATATCGATAAAGTTGACAGCGATGATTTTCAAATTGAAATTACGTCACGAGGTAAATGTTGGGTTGTCAAGTGTGGCTGAGAAGGAAGAGGGAGGGGAACGAATCGGAGGAGAATAACGCTTATTAATAATAATCGCGTGTCTTTAGATTTTCCTCGTTTAGAAGGAGATGAATGCGCGTATTTTATTCTTGAATCTTTCCTTATTTCGGTTAACCTCGTTCGAGGAAACAGTGGTTCGCACTAAAAGAACGTTACTGGCCTTATAGATAATATAGCGAAGAAAGAGGATAGAAACGGTACGTTTTTTTTCATTTCACCAACTTTGATTTTTTATAATTACCAAGAATGCAAGGATAATAACAAGATTATACGGGAGAATGCCTCTTGGAAATGAGATTTCCTTCTCGTTACTGTTTGAGGGAAGAAAAACCGGAGATTCTTATTATACCAGTAGACATTTTCATCATCGTTGCAAAAAAATACTCTCTAAATGATCTCTCACTCTCTCTCTCTCTCTCTCTCTCTCGTCGTTGTTCGTCTCTAGTCG